GTAGACGTATCATGAAGATTGAAATCGAGGCTGATTGCAGGAACTTTTAACTGATCGATATCGGCATAAACCTGCAGACACCTGAAAACAGCTTCAGCTGGGATACATGAGTAACATTTCATTGTATCCCACCTTAAGGTGACGTCTCTGCGCTGGCTAGAGGTCAGTTTGCCTCGTACAGTCTTTGTCACGGTGCTCCTTTACTTGCTAACCTTCTGCTACAGTTATTAAACAGTAAAAGGCTCCACCTGATGGCACAAACAGGTACTACAGATTTGTGTCATTTTTTGGACAGGACGTCTCTGGTCCAATCGCAGATGTATTGGAATGAGTCCTGGAACACACGGAAGTTTTGCACAAACTGTTGTGCGGTGAAATCCGGTACAGTTGTGTCCCACCAGCAGCACCACAGTGGTGGAAAACAGTACTTTTATAACTTTGGTGTACTGCGGTATTTACGCTTAGAAATTAGGTCTTTTCGTGAAAAACGGAGCTCACCTACTTGTGCTCATAGAAAAGACCGCATGAGAAAAAAATCACTCGGTTTCATCTTGGACAAATCGGACATTAGAACGCCCTAGTTTAATCTTTTTAAAGTCATTTTTGGTCGCACACCGGTCTGAGCACCAACGGCAGCTAGCACAGCCTGCAATGTGGCGCGTTCAGGGAACATCAGTAAGTTGTAGAATCTATCGATAACAAAATGTTCAGCATGTCATGTGTTTTTCCTGTGACAAGGTGAGAAAGAACTAGCACCTGGTTCTTCTTAGTGGAAAAAGGGTAGCGGTCTTCGTCATGGTGCTCCTTTACTTACTAAACCTCGGCTACGGTATTAAACAGCTCCACCTGGTGGCACAATCGGGCACTACAGCTAATTCACACTCTGGGAAATTTAGGAAAATGATATTGGGAGATATTAAATATTAAATACCTCCAATAAGTAAAATAAATAAAAGAATAAAACCCGAGCAGGAAATTCCTACGTAGACATAAAAGCTGGCTCCTGAGGTGGATGTAAACTTCAACTTCATGCGCAGACACTCAGTGCAAAGTTAAAGATGCTTACCTGTGAATAATTTCAATAAAACAAGACCAGAGCAGCACTTGTCTTTATTCAACTAGCCGGCGAAGTGTTCCGGGTCCGTAAATGGATTATGGCTGCACTTTGCACGGTTTTCAGATCGGTTGTAGTCAGCAGCTCGGGGACGGACTTAAAGGTGTGGTTGTTTGCTTTGAGAAACACTCTGGCTCTTTGTGAAGCTGCTCTTTAATAATGGATGTGTTGGGACTGCAGATCCCAGGGTGAGGAGGCCGGGACAGGACGAAGGAAACCAGTGGCTGTGGACCCAGGTGAACCCTCTGCATTGTGTTGTGTGCGAGTACAGTACAGTGAACAACGCTTCGGTACGTTCGCTCGCTCACGCACGGATGCCTCGGCGTTATGTCCTCGTTACTTATGTCGCTCCTAGTGCTCGTACTAAGCATTTACTGAATCATTTATGAACAGGAACTCGGTCTAAACACGCATTTTGTGAATGAAACCGGCGGAAAAAGGGAACGTCTGGCTTCGTTTCACCACATATCCGAGTGCCCTTCAGCTGACATGCAGGCAGATGGCCTCCTTCATCCCTCCTCCTATGACCGTTGTTAGCCTCGATTCTTTAGTTGTTGAATTATAACACCGTGAAGCAAAATGGTGGCAGAGAGGATTTTTTTTTTTTTATTATTAGTTCTTGCAGCTGCCGCCTCCAGGGAGCTGCCCAGGGTCACCTAGCCTCGCCTCACCCCGCCTCGTATTGACTGTAAGCAGATATAGCAGTAAAATTAAAGCACACGGCGCTGTCAGGGCGAGCGTTTCACACAGCTATGGAGATTTATGACGCTGAATTAAAGCAACACAAACATGGATTCGATACATCTGTAGAATCTAAAATGAGATATTTTCTGCCACCATACATGCGGTCTGGTTGTGTGTCCTATAGCAACAATAAGGTGCAGTTTTTCTTCTTTAAATGTAAATTATGTACAATTATTGACGCTAAATGTTCCATAAAACCTTTAATAACACTTACAAAGAGCAGCTTTATTCAGAATCGATGCCTCGGGCCAGGTTGGACGGCAACACTGGACGCAGGCGTCGGGCCAAGCAGGACGGAGCAGCCAGAACCTCGCACTGCTTTGTGTGTTTTGTTTTGTTGTACCGGCTTGTTTGCTCTAATTTGCAGGATTGTTAACAAGGCAGATTATTAGACAAGAGGCGGTTATAGTAGATGTTAGATCTTTTTTTTTTGTCTCTGTTGTGCTTTAAATTAGTGAATGTAAAAGCACTAAAATGTAGCCTTTGAATGTCTTTTTTTTCCTGCATCCGTCTTGTAATCCCTGCCTGCCGTGCTTTGGGTCCCCGTGGAGAGAAGGGGTCACTGCAGATCAATACAGAGCTATTCTTTATCCTGTGATGGAACATTGCTGTCGTGATGGGAGTGGTCTCCTCCATCCACAGGGCACGAGAGGTCGCCGAATGGTTTGATGGGAACGAACATAAATTGAACACCTAAGGGAGATTTTGGACCATCATGTCATCATTTAAACCCCAAACGAGGGACTGTCTTTGGAAAAATTGAGTTCCTTCCTTCTGAAACACCTTAACAAGACTCCTTACGTTGGTTGTTCCTTTGAATTTTGTGCATCCGCTCGGCTTCTGCAAGAGATAATCCCTGTTATAAAGCATGTGGACACCTGCGATTGTCTCGTTAGAAAACCGCCAAAGCGTTTAGGCTTTCCAGAAAATGTTGAAACCACCTACAGGAACGTCCAACAGTGATTCCAGACGATCAGGGCCGGCCCTGACCAATTTGGTGCCCTAGGCAAGATTGTAGTTTGGGCCCCCCAGCATCACAGTGAATTTCACTCCTAATTTTCATACAGTAACACAAACTGTATGCATGTATTCAAGCTTTTATTTAAGTACAAACAACACACTAAATGAAACTGAAGAAACAAGTCTTTGCGACACTCCCTGGCTAACTGACGTGTATTCAGGCAAATATTTAACCACAAGCACCTTGACCGTCGTCTTCAGACATTAGTGAAGACGGTTCGCTAACGTCTTAGCTGCTAACGTTAGCAGCTAACATCTTTGCTGCTAACGTTAGCAGCTAAAACGCTAACGTAGCGTCTTTACTGCAAACGGTAGCAGCTAAGATGCTAACGTCTTCGCTGCTAACGTTAGCAGCTAAGACGCTAACGTAACGTCTTTGCTGCGAACGTTAGCAGCTAAGATGCTAACGTCTTCGCTAACGTCTTCGCTGCTAACTTTAGCAGCTAAGACGCCAACGTAACGTCTTTGCTGCGAACGTTAGCAGCTAAGACGCTAACGTCTTCGCTAACGTCTTCGCTGCTAACGTTAGCAGCTAAGACGCTAACGTAACATCTTTACTGCTAAAGGTAGACAAACTGCATCGGCGCTTGTTGATAAATACTTGCCTAGCAGCTAAGACGCTAACATCTTTACTGCTAAAGGTAGACAAACTGCATCGGCGCTTGTTGATAAATACTTGCCTGAATACATGTCAGTTAGCCGGGTAAGCTTGTGGCGCCCCCCGTGGATGTCGGCGCCCTTAGCATTTGCCTATACTGCCTATGCCTAGGGCCGGCTCTGCAGACGATAGGGTCAGTGTCAGGTTCATCCCAAATATGTCGGCATGGATTGAGATAAAGTTCTTCTGCAGCAAAATGGATAACTGGAATTTAAGGTCGTTCCTCAAAAGAATATCAAGAAACGTGATCGTATGCTGTTGCGTTTAGGGCCGAGCATTTCATTTTAAATCTAAATTTGCAGTGTTTAGCAACCTGAAAAGACTGCAGTTCTGAATGATGTTGTAACTCAGTTTTATTTAGTTGGAAAGGATTAAACAGTGCAGATTGCTGCATTGTACATACATGAAACAAGTGCATTTTAGTGTTTCAGCAACACAAAGACTAAACACTTTGCTGATATACCAACAACACACAGAGAGGATGTCGGTTGTTTTACCAGATTCTAACTAACATTCTGAGAATCTGGAGGCCAAAAAGACCTACAGTTTGGAGAGAAACTGAACTAGTGACACTGTTTGACCCAAAGTTTTCCCCTAAACTTAACAAAATTAGTGCATAAACAAACAGAATCTGCAATAAGTAGATTACCAGACCTCCAACCTTTAAAAGAAAGCAAAAATAAAGAAACAAACAGAAAACAGCATTTACACCAAATTGTACAACCTCATAAAAAGACTTGCGGGAATATTTGCTAGTAAACATTCACAACATGCAGGCAGAAGAGAAGCTAATTATGAAATCAATGTTGCATCAAATGATGTAAAAAAATGTTGTTTACAAGAAGTTAAATTTTTAGATAATGAATATTAGTTGAGATAAAATGCCACATGTTTAAATCCAGCTTCCTGTGTGTGTTTTCCTGTTTTATATCATTTTAATCTGTGTTTTAGGGTCACAAACAGCCTGTTTTTAGTTTTCTCAGGTCCAGCTCTACGTGCTCATTCTTCACTTTGTAGATTAACTGATTAATCCGAAAGGGTTATTAATCCAGTCGTTTGTAATCGTCCCACCAGCGGCAGCCTTTTAGTTTGAGCTCCGTTTTAAAGCAGCGACATGCAGCGCTGCAGTATTCGGCTGCGTCTCTGGAGATGCTGTGATCCTGCCAGCGCCGAGCTGTCGTGAAAGGTGCAACCTATATTGTCAAAATATCACTTTAAAATAAATTGTGCTGACACGCTGCTCCGCTGTATCTGTTAGATGTTATTATTAGTGCTGTTATTTGTCTCGGATGTCTTGTTCTGCTGCCGTGTGCTCATCACTCTGCGCCGCCAGAGAACAAAATAAGTTTTATTCCGCTGTCAGTGGAGACACTTTTGAGATTTTACTAGTGTACAAACTCAGGCTTGTCACAGCCGTCAGCAAACTGCTAAAACTGATTTAAGGTGTTCTTCACCTCTGTGCAGGTTTGTCGCCCAGAATGCGATGCGGCTGCAGAAACTCGGGGTGACGCATGTCCTTAACGTGGCCGAGGGAACCTCCTTCATGCATGTGAACACCAGTGCAGACTTCTACGCCGGAACCGGCGTCACGTACCACGGCATCCAGGCCAACGACACCGAGCAGTTCGACCTCAGTGCCTTCTTTGAGGAGGGGGCTGATTTTATCGACAAGGCCCTAGCACACAATAATGGCAAAGGTGAGTTTACGTTGAGGTAGAAGTGGTCACATTTCCAGTCTCAGGGTGCAGCAGTGGTCTGTCTGTTATGCTAAAAGAGCTAAAGGCTAAAAAAAAAAAAAAAAGATCCCGCAACTTCACTGTTTGGTTCTTGCTACTGGTACTGGCTCTGCTCACTACCTGCAATGCACCAAACTACAGTGAAGAGTTAGCAGCTAAAGGGTGAACATGGTGGCACATTCATCAGCTAAAGAACCAAATAGTACCGTCAGGAATTGGTGGAGAACAAAAATAGAGCAAAAGGAAAAGTAAATATTGGACATAAATTTCCCTGGTGGCCAAGAGCTGCGCTGCTCTAAACAAATCATTTTGCTCTGTAGCCGCTGAACCTCTTTTTGATATTCAACCCTTTGTATAGGTCGACTGTTTTCCACTTCATCGCACCTTTGTGAACCCTTATAGCAGCGATAGTCAACTAAAATTCAAAGAGATCCAGTCAGAGAAAACTTAGTAAAGCAAAGGTCTGGAACATCATGATGTCAAACATGAATTGGTGTGATAGATGCTGATGTAACCTAAAAGTTTTATTAGCGTCTGCATGTAATCAGTAACTGACCGTCAAATCAAATGAATTCAGTTCAAGAACATTTTGACAACATGTAGTAATAAATAACTTTACATACAACTTTACATAAATGAAGTGCAGAACCTGATAAAAGTAATGACTGGACAACCTGAACCAACTTATATACATCTTTAACAAAACCTAAATCTCAAAAATGTAAACACTTCTACATTTTTTTCCTGTCTTATATTGATCCCCTTATATCCCCTGCTGCTTAATGGGAGAACCGAGCTGCAGCTTGCCCTGCCAGTATGTTAAATCATGGCCTGAGTGGTGTCAGGGCCATTCTCAAACACATTTGGAGGTGCTCATTGGTGAGTCTGGAGTGATATTTAGTTTTGATTATGTTCATGTTCATAGTTCATTCAGCTGTATGTTGAGCCAAACATGGTCAGCATGTGAAGGGCTACTTTCCTTGAGCCTGGGAAACCAGTGACAGAGACCATTTGGAGCCAGAAAATGGCAGGGTCAGTTCTTCTGAACTGCTCTTTAAGGGCCACATCTGCTTGGAGATCAACCAGCTCCATCTGAAGAGGCCCAGCATTTGCCCATTTGAAGTGCTGTGTGACTTCCTTTGAGAACCCCCTGACATCTGTGATGAGAAATGGGTTCTGAATGAACATGGTGAGCTGCTGTCCAAAGCTGAAGCTGTCAAAACATTTGCTGAAGTTTACAATCAGCTTATCAACAAAGTCAACAAAAGAAGACACATCTCTCTGTCCCTGAACCTGTTGCTGCAATGCTGACAAGTGGACACAGTCCAGGTCCAGCAGGTCTTCCTTGAACACCTCAAGTTTCCTCTGAAAGGAGCGGACAGCTGCCAGCAGTTCACAAATTAAATTGTCTTTGCCCTGTAGCTTCAGTTGACTGAGATGTGGGGTGATATCAACCAAAAAGACCACATAATCCATCTTCTTCTCATCTTTTAAAAAGAGAGAAATCTCTGTCGCCTTTTGACTCTTCAGCTCTGCCAGAAAAGCTGCTACCTCCCTTCTGATGGACCAGAACCGCTCCAGCACCCTGCCTTACCTGAGCCATAGATCATCAGCATTTGTTTCAACCTCTCTGAGGAATTCCCGAAGCATGCGATGCTGATAGGACGAGGATACCCTGAGAAGTGTGTTCATCACCTCGGCATGCTCATCTGACAGGGTTGAGCATAGGACAGACTGGTGAATTATACAACGGCAAGCAACTCAGGATTGTCTTTCTTCAGTCTCACCAAAGCTCCTTTCTCTCTCCCTATAATGGCAGGGGCGCCATCTGTAGGTTCTGGCTCTATTCCTCTCTTTGCTAACATTTCCTTAATGGCCAGGTAGATGTCCTCGACTCCTGTACTTGTCTGAAGGTCTTCACAGAAAATGTTCTCGTCCTTGTTGAAGAACCTTACATAAACTAACCATTGTCAGTCACATCAGTGGACTCATCCACAGCCAAGGCTACAAACAAACAAATGGTAAAAAGTAGACTCACGTATGCAAAAGCTGTGTTTGTGTAAGTGTGCAGGGCTTTTACTGCACAGAGGAACTTTTGGCACCACCCAATGAGATTTTAGTCAATGCCAAAGGGAAGTTAGCAGCTCCGAAATGGAAAGAATTGACAATGATATTAGCATTTCTAATCCTCCCTGAATGTGTTTACCAGCAAACAACTGTTGATCATAAATACGACATGTTTGGTTTCCGTCCATCAGCTCCCTTCTTATCCACATCATGTTTCACACATTAGTTTGACTCTTGATTTTATTGGTCGTGTTTAATCTCGATTTTTCGGCTAATTGGGCTGTTCAGCAACGTCAGCCGCTTCCTCCACATAGCTGGCATCAAAACCAACAGGAAAGAACACCGATTTCTATCATCCATCCATTATCTATACACCGCTTAATCCTCACCAGGGGGCTGGAGTCTATCCCAGCTGACTCAGGGTGAAGGCAGGTTCACCTGGACAGGTAACCAGTCTATCACAGGGCTACACTTAGAGACAGACAACCAAGCACACTCACATTCACACCTACGGACAATTTAGAATCACCAATTAACCTCAGCATGTTTTTGGACTGTGTGGGAGGAAGCTGGAGAACCTGGAGAGAACCCACGCTGCACGGGGAGAACATGGAGACTCCACGCAGAAAGACCCCCACCAGGACACGAACCGGCAACCTTCTTGCTGCGAGGCAACAACCTACCAACTGCGCCACCCTGCAGCCCTCAGATAACACAAATTCGTTCATTTGCTGCACATGGAATGCTAATATGTGCACAAAAACCCATTCTGAGCCCTAAACGTGGCCAAAACAACGACTGGAATTCAGGATTTTTTAACGTTAGAAGAAATCTTGACATCAGTGCGTCAAAATGCACCGAAAACCCCCAAAAAAGAACTGAGAATTTATTCCTTCACAAAAGCCCTCAGAGGTGGAGGAGATCAAAGGGGAACACGATGTCTGTCTCCCTTCAGTAGCTGCCGCTTGAAAGTAATTTGTTCCCACAAGTTGAGACACGAAAACAAGCTCCTCTTGTTGCTCGTCGAACAAAGGCTACAAGGTTCGAGGCGTCTTTTTTTAATGATTCAATCTCTGCTTCGCCTCATCGCCGCCGATCTCCGAGTGAAGACGGGAGATAATCATGCTCCTCCCCCACGAGCACCTCGGGCTAAATCCGACGCACTCCCGAGTCCTGCTCCACATTCTGTTATCAGATCGAGTCCCAGAACGTCAAACTGTTTCAGGCACCTGTGGCTGATATTAGCCACGTTGAACAGGTGCTGCGACACAATCAAACCCTTAAACCACGAGGGAAATTTAATTCGGAGCGCGCTGTGTTTCTCACACGTGTTTTGGAAAGCCGAGTGTCAGGATTGACGAAATAATCAATCCCAGAAGGCTCCGGCTCTCCCAGAAGCTGAATTAGTCTCTGAAGGATGTGATTAATTAGTGCGCCGAACCCGCTATTTTACGGCATGGATTTATCGTCAGCTTCGACGTGGACAAGCATCTCAATCTCCCCGGCAGTTTGGTGAAGGTGCGCCGACGCTGTGGTAAATCACCAGCTACAGAAACGACAGGACGATGGTGTTGCTGCAGTTTGCGCGACATTACCCGTGACATTTTGTGACCCTCGGCTCTGAAAAGGTCGCGGGTCCAAGGTTTTAATGAGGCGCTGTGTTGATGCATCGTTCCCACGAGCTGCCACGTAATGAAGACACAAGGCCGCCGGGTGGAGGCGGTGACGTCTGCGTGTTTTCACATCGAATCTGCACCGACGAAGGGAATTACCACCAACGCTGCAGTTTCTGTCGGCTCTACGAGGGTCTTTACCTTCTCAGAGATCAAGGTTTTCTAATCGATCCGATCCGTCAACCTCGATTCCACCAGCAGACGCTATGTTCTGCTGCCAGTCCTTCAGATGGATGTGTTCAGCAGGTGTTGCAAGGTCGTCTGTAGGTTCGTCTTTTGTATGCATGAGAATAGAACAAGTGGCTTAAGATGAGATAAGATAATCCTTTATTAATCCGGATTTGCATTGTTACGGCAGCAAAGGGGCAAAAATGAAGCGACATCAGTAGAAAAATAAACATAAAACATGCATAAGTTCTCTAGAGATTATTCTTTGTGTAGAAATTCAGATTTTGCACAGATTCCTCGAAATGTGTAAAATACCGCGATGACAAAAACACTGATGTTGCAGAGATCCGTCCACGAGTAAAAGTACTGATGATAATGGTTCAATGTATGGGACACAAAAGCCTGTTTTGGAATTCTTAGACTTCTTATCGGACTTCTTCTCTGTTTAGTCTGTTTTTATAAATGACTGTTTTTGCATTTTACTTTTATTTTAATGGTAGCAGCAGAAAAGAAAGGATTCCCGCAATAACTGCCGATGACATGGCACAACATGGCATATTTAACTGTCTCGTTTTAGTTCACAAGAGGACACAAACAGGCCGGTACGAGGAAGCAAAAAATGAAGTTTAGTTAAACTGATGCACAAATTGCAGAAATGCAGACAGGAAGCAAAAACAAGAGGAACGGGTTTTGAAAAATCCAAGAAGAACAGAAAACCAAAACCAGTTTATCAAAAAATAAAGGAAAAAGCTATTGCGGGATTTAGTTTGCTCAAACAGTGGTGCCTTGAAGAAGTGGGAAGTCATATCCATCGTGTTCCTCAATACAGTTAAGCGGTACATTTATGTGTAAACATGTCTGAAGTTCTGCTAGCAGCGTTAGCATCAGCTGTAATTTTAGCCGCGTCCGTGATTTCACAAACGAAGCTAATAGCAGCACACGCTGTACGCTTAAAATGCATTTTCCTCAAGCGTGCTGCAGAACACAGCGAAAAAAACAACGTTGAATGTTTAATTATTAGGTCAAATTTTGAGGTTAAACGTGGATTTCATTGGTACTGAATGGGGTTAGGATGGATGAATGAAGGAACAAAGTGGTGGACGTTATCCAGCTAACATCATGTTTACAATAATACGTTTTTATACTTGGTTATGTTAGAAGTAAGAGGCTGCATTGATGAGTAAAATAAATATATTGACACAGTGTTCTACCAGCATTCCTGTCTTGCTATAAGATGTTGGTTTTTGTTTTTGGTCCATTTTGTGCAAAACAAGATGTTTCAACCTTTTTCTGTGAACGTAGAAGAAAAAAAGAGTTAATGGCCATTGTCTGATACCATTATCTCTGATTGGGGTTTTGGGATTGGGGAACCTTACACTCAAGAATACTAACCATTAAAAAACCCTGATCTGTTTAGACAAACAGAATGAATTTGCTCTAAACAACCAAAAAAAACAGAGTAAAGACGTAGAGATTTGTCAACTCCAGAGTGATGGAGTGAGAAAACGAGCGAGCCAAAGGTCCTGCGTGTCGAACAAGAGGATACGGTGGAATCTGCATCGACCGGCGGCGGCGGCGGACGCCTGATTAGGTATTGAAGAGGTCGCGTCATTGGCTCTCGGTGGAGCGTAGAAGGGGAGGGGAAGGACCGAGGACAATACGAGAAGAGACGGTGTTGGGTTTCAAACAAAGTGCAGAATGTGCAGATCTGACCCGAGCTCAGCTGCTCTGCGAAAGCTGCCAAGTCGAATCCCCTCGAGGGGCTTTGGCGTAATCAAAGTTGGACGGAAACAAACAAGACGAAACGGGTCTGAAAACACGCGTACAGCTCGGCGGACGGCGGGTAGCAGCGACTCGGCGCAGGATGCGGCTGCGGCGAAGATGATTGACTTTGCCTGAGTCTGCAGCAGAGGTCAGGTCGTGCATTTGCATCTCCTGGCAGAGAAAGCTGCTGCGCTCGGCAACTTTAGTCGCGGCATATGTTCCCCAGCTACTCGTACTGTCTTTTGTTTTCCTTCTCAAGTCGTTTCCTCATTTTTCTTCTTGTGTTCTTCGGCCGCAGTCTCACAGTAAAGAGCCACAAGAGAAATCCAGTTTGTTCTAACGCTGGATGGTGTTTTAAGGACAAACCCAAAACATTCTCCAGCTTCTAGTGTATATATATATTCTCTTACTGCTTTGTTTTGTCAAATTTTTGTGCAAAAAAACCCCCATATTTAAATGTCCGTCCACTTATTGTCTTTTGTTTTCTTCGTTAAGTTGTTTCCTCATTTTTTCCCCTAATTTTTCCTCCCAATCGCCTCATGTTCTTAAGCTTTTTGTGTTTTGTTTTATTTTTTTTTAAATTTAATTCTTTTGCTTTGAAAGTTTAACCTTTCTGCATGGTGTTTCAAGGACACTGTGGAAAAAAACATAAATCTTCCAGGTTCTAATAATGCACTTATTCCCGTTGTATGGTCTAAAGTTCATGAAGCCCGTAGCTTTCCAATGTCCACATTGTATGCCTTGCTGGGTGTACTCCAACGATAAAATCCAGCTGACACCAAGTTGCGGTTTAAAACAGGATTCTTTAGTTCACAAAAACAACTTTACAGACGGAAACATAGCGACAAAGTGTGTGCAGTCAAAAAACTGTTTGGCTCCATGCTATCATTCATTTCCCAAGATCCCTTGCAAATTTAAGGGACCCTAATATAGTGAAGCAAAATATCAAAAACAAATCAAGAAACCCAAACAGCACACTAACACAGAATTCAAATATCCAAAAATATGATTAACAACATTTAACCAAATAACAGATAAATTTAGCAAAATAAAAATGTTAATTGTAATCTATATCAAAGTCACTGCTGAACAAAAAATCAAAACCAAATAGAAATAATTATGGTAAAATAAGAACCAAATCCAGAACCAAAGAAATAGATTTAGGCTCCTACACACGTATTTCTTAGCTTCTGTCAAATACACCTGATGATGGCAGTGATTGGCTCAAAGGGTTGTTCAGCTAAATATTAGTTTATGGGTCCCATCATGCTTGTTTTTTTTTTTTTCTGTTGAACCACAATTCAAAAGCATGATTTTCATAAAATGTTTTATTTATTATTACTTCAGTCACAGTTGATTTTTTTTCCTTCTTTAACAAACACATTTGTGGACGACTGTCTGACTCCCCTGTATGATCTTCTGTGCTCACCGTGTAGCAGCGCTAACCTTGCCGTTTCCCGTGTCCTCCAGGGAAGGTGTACGTACACTGCAGGGAAGGCTACAGCCGCTCCCCCACCATGGTCGTCGCCTACCTCATGCTGCGCCACAAGATGGACGCCCGGCTGGCGGTGGCCACGGTGAGGCACAAGAGAGAGATCGGCCCGAACGACGGCTTCCTCCGCCAGCTGTGCCAGCTCAACGAGAAGCTGGCGAAGGAGGGCAAGCTGAACGGGGAGGTGGGCAAACTAAAGACCAAATGAGAGCAGACGGAGGCAGGAAAGAGACTCTCTGGAAAAAAAAAACCGTCTCCTCCCATCGCGCCTTTCGCAAAAGGCTTCAGCTGCTCTCGGAGACCAAACCAGCACCCATCCGACACACCGGGGTATTACCGAAACACATACATGCATTTGATCCGTGTAGATAATTCTGCCTCATGTACACACTCACGTACACGCCGTTTCCTTTTTTTTTTTTCTTCTAGTCTGTCACTGCTGCTCTACAAAGAGTGTGATCTCGAAAAATACAAACAAAAAAACCCAGATTTCGCCGCTCGAAAACCAAATTTCCGTCGACTTTTCGAGCCACTTTAAAGCATTCCTTCGATTCCCTGCGAGGTTAAGAAGGTGAAAAGTTTTACCCAGATTTTTAGAAGATTTAAAAATAAAAATTAAAAAAACAAACAAAAAAAAAAGATGATAGCACAATCATTCCATAGTTTTCCACTGCCGGGAATGTCAGTGATGTCTCCGCCAGCAGGAGTGCTCCTTAAAATTCCAAACAAACTCCAAAACATCGATGGCCACACGTGATGCAACAAAGACGCGAGTGAGCGTACGGAGGAGGAAAATCCCAAACATTCCATGAAAACTGGAAAAAAGGAAAAAAAAAAAAATCGATTCCTTCTCTTTTTAAATTCTTTTCCTTCTCTCCGCCCGTAGCGGCGGATGTTCGATGCACAAATGACTCGCGCTCCAAGCTGTAGCTCTGTGTAGCATTTTCGCCACTCCGGCCTCTAGTTTGACAGCGGCGGCGTGATATTTATCGGTTGTTGACGCCGAGCGGAGCGGCGCCGAGAGCGGCAAAGGTCGAGCTAATTAAAAATAACGAGCCGCGCCGGTCGCTCGCGTAGCAGCTGTAGCTTTAGCGGCAGATGTGTCGGTGCGGCGATCTGAGGGGAAACAATGCATCGAGCGTCGGCTTAAAACGAAGGAGATTAACTACAGATTCCTCCTGCTTAAAAGTTGTTTTCTGCTCTGACACCAGGTTGAGATTTGTCTGTATTTCACTGACGTTAGTCACCAGAAGGCTGTCTTCCGGAGTTTGTTTTTGTTTTTTAGTGGCATCTGTCTAAAAAAGAACGTTTAAATTTGATAAATACACTTTTAGTATATTAAGACCTGTATTAATTACCTGCAGTATTTATATTAAGTACATGGTTGGGAGAACGGACATGACAGGAGTCTTAACATGTTTGAAATTTTTTCAACATTCCCTTAAGATTTAAGATTTTTAATATAGTTTTCCTTCATATTTCACTGTCGCTCACTGTCGTACTGTACTCAGTGGTTGTAGGTCATTTAATCTGGCGGTTATTTTCTCAGTTATTCATGGCGATCAGTTTCCCAAGATGACGTCCGAAATGTCTTGTTTAGTCAACAACCCAAACATATTCAATTTATTGTCATAGTAGAGGCAAGAAACCAAAAACATATTCACATTTAAGAAGCCTGAATCAGAGAATTGGGTTTTTTTTTTTTTAAATATGTGATTATTTTATTGGTAAAACGTAGCTGCTTTGACCAAGTCGTTCTTTATTGATTTGACATATTATATAGCAACTAATACTTCTTGTTTTAACGGTGGTTTGTGTTAAGTTTATTACATAGAAGTGGGACTGTAGTCAAAGGGAAGAAGAATGAAAAATCAAACCTGCTAGACTAATCGAATCGACTGGAACAAAATCGGCCACAGTGTCGAGCGTTCTCTACCTGCTGTACATAGTTAGGATCTGCAGCATATTAAAGTCTCTGAACCTGGTTGTTTTATACTGAAATGAGTAGAACAGACTGGAACAGACCATATATCAACTGGTGATTGAAGCACAAGAACTATTGAGGAATAAAACCCTGTTCTTAGATGATCTACACGTTGATTGTTGAGTTGATACACAAACTGCTGTTTGTTGAGTTTAAACTCAACATTTTCCATCAGGTTGAACGAAATGCAGCATCAATGATGACTTCTTTGACTTGGTGTCACTTAGTTTGGAGTTAACGTTCAGTAAACATTAAGACCTATCAGTGTCCCTTAGATTGAACGTTTGGTGTTTACAGGTGGTCTGTTCCTCCTGCTGCCAAAAACAACGGATTCCTCTTAGAAAGCTGTTGATGTAGAGCTTTCCTGCTTATGAAAGTAACACTGAAGACTGTTCAACCATTGAGAATTTGGTCAGATGAGAGCATATTGACTCTATGGCAACAATCTCACAGCTAAATAATGGAAAAGCAGGGCTGTCTTTGTACTACAAGGAACCACCTTCTAATTCTAGTTTCTTCTCTAAAAATGAAACCACAACTAGAAAGACTTTCTCCAGCACCAATAGACAACTCTTCTACGACTTGAGATTTCGCAACCCGAACCGGATTGGCACCAAAATTTAGTATCTAGCTCATGCTACACCAGGTTTTATTAACATTGTCTTGGTGGTTTTTGTAAAATTATGGATTAATCCTGGAAGAATGTTGATGTAGAGCTTTTCTCTTTATCCGACGAATGGGAATTTGGTCGGATGAGAACATGCCAACCAACAAATCGACATCGACCCTACACCTTACAATCTCACAGCTAAATAATAGTGAAATAGCAGAGCTGTCTTTGTACAACATGGAACCACCTTCTAGTTCTAATTTCTTCTCTAAAAACAAAGCTAAAGGTAGAAGGACTTCCTCCAGTTACTAGCGACTACGCCTCTCCACAGAGTTTCATGAAGATCTCGGCGTTTTTTTAAATCTAATGTGGCTGGTAAATGGTTGGAAAAACAAAAACGGTCTGTTCCTTCTGCCGCCAAAAATAATAGATTGATCCGAGAAGGCTGTTGATGTAGCGCCACAGATTGTCCAACTGATAAGAATGTGGTCGGATGAGAACATGTCAACCAACAAACCGACGTAGACCCTACACCTAACAATGACGCAGCTAAAAAATGGGGGGAAAGCGGAGCTGTCTTACAAGGAACCACCTTCTAATTCTAGAGTTTCTTTTGTAAAATGAAACTAAAACTAGAGGGACTTTCTCCAAAGCCAACGGTAAAAGTCATCTATGACACGCAATGTGGCACACCGAAACCTAGCAGGTACCCCGTGTTCCAAGAAGTTTTATGAACGTCTCATTGGTGTTTTTTATCTAATGCTGTTGGTAAATGGTTGTGAAAACATTACGGGAGTGTTCACTGTAGTTTGTTCCCTCTGCCTCCAAAAATAATGGATTAATCCTGGAAGACTGTGGATGTAGCGACACAGATTGGCCAACTAGTGAGAATTTGGTTGGATGAGAACGACCAACCAGTTGACCTGGACGCTATATAGAAGGAATATGTTGATTAATTTAACCTGCCAGCTCATTTTAACTCCAGATTTTTATTAACAAAAAGGCCAAAATGGAAATAACCAGGTTTGTTTTCAGATTTATCCGACGTCTAAGTGCGCCAGTTAGCCGAATATTCACGACGCGTTCCCCACAGCGACGCTCGACGTGGGCGTCGAAAGCCGATAACGCTCAGCTTCAAACTAGAGGCCCGTCAGTTTTCACCGGGGAAAGATGCCACCGGCTTTCAACAGAAAGCTCCAGTCATCAACGCCAGAGAGTTGTCCACTGCCAATTCCCTGACACAGCCACTGTTTCATCCACGCAGTCTGTCCGAGGTCCATACACGACATGTCTCACTCCTGACTGTGTGTGTCATACACCCACTTATGCACACACAAACTCACAAAGCCTTGTTTTCGTTTGTACTAAAGCATTGCGATATATGTCAATACCCCCATCAGATATATAGAATGTAACCACATGTACTCTGACTAACCAGGCAGTAGTTGCCACATACAGTATAACGGCAACTTTACAGTCCATTTTTGACAGACACTGTATTTATTACTGGACATAATACTGTAAACTAGACCTAGAGCCGTGGGGGAGGAGTGATGGAGTGTCTCTGCAAGCTGCACAGCATCACTCGTCCAGTTTTAGAGAGCAGGAGGGTGAGAAAAGAGTCAGTTCAGCCACTATGTCCAACACATCAGATGCATATTTCTCTGGTCTGAGGCATGTTAGCATGAATCCAAGAGGGACAGAGGAAGATAGATGAAAACTAGGTTGCCTCACCTCATTATTGGCACTATTTATTCCTCCTTTGATATATCTGTATACATTTAAATATATACATGTATACTGTATATACATATTTAAGTGTTGACATATATGAATGTATGAGCAATGTGTCTATAACGTGTAGGTATCGTCAGTATGTCTTAAGTCCTTATATATCATGTTATCTTTGTATCACGGAGTAGCTCCTCCTTTCTTTCTGTTTGTTACATGCACATTGATATTCGGATACGATGTGCATGTAAGACGTTCTGTGCGATTGTGATGTATCGCAATTGTGCAAAACTCGCTAGCTTGATAGCAAGGGTTTTTTTTTTTTTTTCGTTTTGTTGTTTTTGTTTCCAGGCTTAGCTGGGATACTGAGGCATGTAATCATGGTGTTTAACTAGTGTTTTCGTGAAGGTTTGAGTTTCCATTAGTGATGCCAATTCATTCATAAGATACAGCAGGATGCAGGTGGCAGCATAGGATGCATACGGATTGTCCTGCATATGCGTACGTACCATCGCATCCAAGGTCATGCCATCGCACATTTACACGGCGCTTTAACGCATTTCCGGCGGTTTCTGTGCTGATAGGATATTTTCTGTTAAAACTTTGTTTGTGTGACATTTGCAGGCTGCAGACTCTCCACTAGAGGGAGCAGCTCAGGCGTTGTTGGACAAGAGGCTCACTGCACGGAGATATTTCAGTGTTTGCTCAGTCTTCATTTTTGCTCTTAGATTGGTTTAAAACAGGGTAAAAATAAAGATTAGTTCAATTAAAAGAATTTGCCTAACCCTCTGAACTCCGAGCAGCTTTTGGGCACTTTAGTTTGCTCCCGTCACATTTTTGTTCACTGTAGGATAATTTTTCACTGCAATGTAAAGTCCTGCACCTCTATGGAAACAGCACAACCATGACTAGGAGTAAAGGGAACTAAAAAATGCCTTCTGTGCAGCATAACAGCTTATAAGGCCATAGATCTTAAAAAATCTATAAATTGATGGTTACATTTCTTTGATTATTTATTTTAAAACTTGAAATCAACATGTGCAAGATTTTTCCAAGTGTCATTATCAATACTGGAAAAAAATGGTGTCTCTACATGCTTTATATGTTTTACTATCGACATTTTGAACTTGCTTTCATACTTCTTCTCTGCGTTGTGTAAACACAGCCTGCAGTTCAACCGAGGAACATTTTTGTCACGTGATATTGATGAAATGTCACGAGTTTAAGTTCATTGAAAAACAGCTGAAAAATTCAACGATTCTCAATTTTTTT